TCGCAGATATCAATATACCTGCGTGTTTCTTCATACAGCTGAGGGTCCAGCGACCCCTTCATACTCTCCTTGTCTCGGTATACTGGTCCTCGGCGTGCTCGTCATAGGTCCTGGATTCTGGTTCCGAGGACGGGTCACTAGTCAGTCATACCGCAGGAACGCGATGTCTCCCCTCGCCCTGGCCTCCCTTAACTTCGGCATCAACTCCCTTCTTCTCTTCCTCACAGCCTCGGTGTAATCTTCATTTATATAAATATTAGATCCTTTAAGCTTCTTTGCTTGTTGCAGTATGTGTGCCTTATCTTTCTCTTTCATCAACTTTACCATCACCGCCCTCGGTCCCCGATCAGAAGGTTTCCCGACTCCGTGAGCCCGCTCCATCTCATTTTCTTGATGAATTTGCAGTTTATCCTTTAATATTTCCTTCACCTTACACTCCGCATCCGTCCAGCTTTCTCCAGCTGACTCCTTGATTCCCTCGAAGATCAGGTTTTTTCGCTTGGACTGTACTTCCAAATGCTCCATTTTATCCGTTATGGCTATTAGACTCTCACAAGTTTTGTAGACATCATCCCTTGTTTCCTTGGTTTGTATTTTCTGTTCACCCATGGCTGCTTTAATCACATCCACATCTCGCTGGGTAAACTGCAAACTCGTTTTTATCTCCTGTATTTCTCTGGTCATGTCGTCGAGTCTCTTGTTATTTGTCTCCATAAGTAGTTGCACAAAACCTTTGAAGTTGTCTTGTTGTTGGCTCAACAGTGCGGTGTACATCTGCTTCGGCTGATTCAACATCTCTGTTACTTGCGCCGCTGAAATATAATCCTCTTCTGCTTCAACATCCTCGTTTGCTTCTGATTTATTAGCTCTTTTCCCTCTTGGAGGCATTTTAATAGTTGTAGAATTTGTTCAAAGACTTGAAAATGTAGAAGATTTGAAAAATTGTAGAACAGACAAGAGGAGCAGTAAACGTCTGCTCTCCCTTGCAACCCGGACGTTCTGTGTATCAATCATATTTGTGTGGTGAAACAGTATGGTTCCTTCCTTTTATGTAACTAAGGGAAATAAACTCTTGCCTTTGCAGATGCAGGTGACTTTGAATTGCAGGTGTCTGCTCTGAATAAATTTCCTGCAGATGTTGCTGATATACATCTATAATATGTAATTAAAATGATGTATGAGTGTTTATAAATTTAGTTGTCAAAAGTGATTACTCCATTTAAAGCTTGGCTGATGATAGCTGAGCTGTGCTCCACACAGAGATAATTGCATAGCTTATTACTAATCTCTGGTGCAGTAACATAATATGTGCATACTTTGTCAGCTGCTGGGACATCCCTCATTCACAGTGTGGTTTTATTTATTTAGTGTTAACAGAGCTGACCCACAAAATTTCATAACATACTGAGACACTGTTTTTGTAGTTCTGAAGGATAATTGGTGCAGGGATTAATTGCCATTTATATTTATTAATACTTCATTGTCAACTGTACTCAGATGTGCTGCTGGCCTTGACACGCTACAGTCAGGGTGGGGACGGACCAATGGCCAGGCCACAGGTGGTGCTCCCTGAGGATGACGAGCAGGTAGCACCCTTCATTGAACTCATTGGGTCCCGCCACCCTTGTGTCACCAAGACGTTTTTTGGCGATGACTTCATTCCTAATGATATCTACATCAGCTGCCCCGGTGGTGGTGAAACTGACGAGGCGAAAGGTCGGGCCTCTTGTGTCCTGGTCACAGGGCCGAACATGGGTGGAAAGTCTACTCTCATGAGACAGGTGGGTCGGCTATGGACATATACAGTATACGAGTATATTGTATTGTTTTCTCCATCTGCATGAAACTACACGAACCTGATTGGAGACTGAGCTGTCGTCTTTCTACAGTGTGGACTTGTGATCATCCTAGCTCAGTGCTGAGAGCCTGCGCTTCACACCAGCTGATGGGGTCTTCACTCGGCTTGGAGCCGTAGATCGCATTATGGCTGGTAACATCACAATATCCTATAATGTAGTACATGTGGTGCTGTGTTTTGAGCTTCATGTGCTAAGCTTGTATTATCCAATATGTATTTGCTAGGAGAGAGTACCTTCTTTGTGGAGCTGAGTGAGACAGCCAGCATCCTGCATCATGCCACTAAACACTCCCTTGTGCTCCTAGATGAATTAGGTAAGTACTGGTTATTTATTTAAGGTTTATTCATACCCACAGTGAAGGCATAAGTGGTCTCGTCAGCACCGTTTTGTTCTTGTGGTGGGATTTTTCTGTTTGTAACCATTCAGCTGTGAACTGCTTGCAGGAAGAGGCACAGCCACATACGATGGCACAGCGATTGCCAGTGCTGTTGTGAAGGAGCTTGCTGAGAAGATCTGCTGTCGCACCCTGTTTTCTACACATTACCACTCCCTGGTGGAGGACTACACCAACAACCCTGCTGTGCGGTTGGGCCACATGGTGAGTACAGCAAGGCGAAGCAATAAACACCACACCACACAGACAAACTCTAACAGATGTAAAAAGCTGTGACTAAATTGATTATGTAGAGGAAAAAAATTATTACATTTGAAGCCAAAGTTGTTCAGCTAACATGTCCAAGTGTAACATCCAAACTACGTCAGCGTGGGGCAGTGAATTCAGCAGTTGGACACTTCTACTCGACAACACAGCTGTTTGTCTGGCACTTCTCTAACCATGAGAGTTATGGTCTTGATACTTTGGTAACATATTGTGCACACCACACAACTACTTGCTACCGGATCATTAATTATGTGCACAAAAGAATAATTCCACCCTTGCAAGTTCTGTAATTTTCCCCTGCTGCTGACATGCAGCCTGCAGTGCAGTGAAGTACCATCTGTCTGACTGTGTTTGGTTCTGAATCACGTGCAGTGCTTGGTGTTTAAGTTTAACATTCC